ATCTTTTCTTCCTCTTCATTGTCCAATCCTTACATTTCATGCACTATACTACAATACCTGTCGGAAGCCCAGTCGGAAGCGTCAAGCTTCTCCCGACTTAGGTATTGGTCCGCTTGCGGGAAATACATGGATGGAGAAAACCCCGAGAGTGACGTGTAGGTTGCTGCCGGATCCCACCATCCACCGGGGAAGAACTCTGCTACTTATCGTGAAAAAACATGATCTACGCATACAGGAATACGTCCGTCTCCGATGACGCGTTCGGGAACACAATATAATCATTCAATTATTTTAACTTTCCAGGGAGATCACCGCCACCTCTTGCGGGGAAAATCACCGCCACTTCCCGCGATAAAAATGTGCACTACACTTACGGAACTAATGACCTAAGAAGTTGACAAGCTTGGTAATCCAATCAATACGACTCGTCTCTCGACACGACGATAGGTTGTGTAGTGCATTTAAGTGTGTATGTAAGGGGAGGGGATATGTCAAGGAAGAGGAATGAAATATCGCTCCTGTCCGTGGCCTGTTTCTTAGGGTACTGCTCCAGGACTCGCCTGAGGAAATTGCCACCAATCAGAGACGCCGACAGTTAGAATTCTTCTCCAGACAATGGCTGGAGCCGACCTACCTATGTAGCTTGTGTCTAAAATCCCACCACAACCACCGAGAATCAAACCCTCGGACCTCCCGGTCAGAGACACTGCAATGACATCAGTTAATGCCCTGGGTCGTCTCACCTGGTTATTGATGCGTGTATTTACAATATTAAGAACTAGAATGATGCCAGAAAGATACACGTTTTCTAGCAAGTGCATGACAAAATGTCTCAAAAGTTCCAACTTAGAAAGAGAGCGCCCGATTGTCAAACATCTTGTAATAATATACAATTTTTGCTTAATAGTTTCTTTAAACATTATATATGATTATCTCCCGTTCAATTAGAGTTCTTGGGACAGTATATGGTGATACTTTCGTTTTTTCTGTTTGGACTTCGAGCAAATAATAGTCAGTATAATGCAGTTTTCTCATAATACATGTTTTCAACATAATTCTAAACAAATGTCACGAACAATTTAAAAGGTTTTATCAGAACTTTCGAGTACCTTGAAGCACGTTATGGGAGAGGTCTCGTAGGAATATTAGGGCCGATAACCAGCATTATATTAAGCAGTGTTGAATTATAAAAAATATCAGGAAAGTGAAGTATTTTTTCAAATTCTTCTCACGAAAATTTCAGGTAAATTTTAATGGCTCAATAATTTCGTTGCTTTATTCAAAGCATTGTATCTTTCCATTTTTTGTAATGAATTGTAAGTGAGCATTAGTCAGTGGAATTCTGCACAATCTGAGAGACCTGAGAGAAACCATGAGGAGTTGTGCATATTTGCTTTCGTTTCAAAACAAAGCTCAGGTTTCTCGATTTCTGTCGAAAGCATATAACGGAAAATCAGTTCAGTTCGCACTAGAAGTTTGTCGAGAACGTGTGTTATGTAGTGAATAGGGACAGTGTTGAGAAAATACAATGAATAAGACGTTGTGATGCCCCTAGGCGCAAAAATACCAAATATGGCCAGGCATACAAACATTTACTTTTTACTATTTTTTATTGTAAGGAAAGTCATTCAATATATCAAGTACGCTAAACATTATATCTTCAGCCTTCTTCCCCAAAAAAAGTCCTGGGTGCACCTTCAATAAGGAGCTACAACACATTTTACTTTCATTCTTTTGGAATTCCAGTGAAAGAAGTGTTGAAGAGTTAGAAGTGGGACCTCAAAGGAAGATTAAAATTATGAAAAGCTCAAGTAAATTTGTAAAAAGTGTAAAGAAATGGGGCAATGATTTAATTTTGTATTAACAGTTGTGAAAGTGATACATAGGAGTCCATATTTTGGCAATTTCAAACATTTCAAAGGTTCGATGAAAATAATTAAGATATAATAATTATCTAAATGATATGATAATTAAATAAATAAGAACTATCATTGATATAAGGACTTAAAAACATTTATGTAATATTGCATATTGCGATCTTTAAAGTTTGTTACTCATAACAAGTTGGATGATTGATATTATAATTTTTTTCTTTTATTTCATGATCCGACATTGAAATGAAGCGTTAAGAACACTCGCAGAATGTCTATTGAGTGTGCCCATTGCGCCTGCGAGTTTCGTACGTATAAGCGTGTGTATGTGTGTGTGTGGGTGTGCGTAAGGGGAAAGAATAGAACAACGAAGAGGAACGAACAATAGTGCGCGGTTTGTATCCCATTTGCTAGTGTGCTGGTCCGGTTTTCGCCTGGTGATAATCGAAGAATGGGGAAGTACCGATTAAAGAAGTCGATCGGCAAATAGCCGAGCTGCATCGGAACTCGAACCCTAGGTCCTCCCGGTCAGAATTGCTGCGAAGTGTCCGGCAATGATAGCTCTGTCCTAAACTCAATCGGTTTTGAACTGCCGTTGAAGCAGAGTCTTACAAAACGAAGAATAGGATAATGTCTAAATTAAAAAACAGGATGGGCCAGGGTACATTTCAAGAGTTATTGAGACACTTTCAATGTCATTGATGATGATGCTGTAAAAAGGATCAATGCATTATTTCGCTGTAGATACAAGTTATTGCACACTGCAATTTGGTTGTCGATTATTTTATTTTAATATTTTTTTTTATTTTTAATACGCCACATGGAAATGCAGATTCATTATGTTACTGAGGTGGAGGGTAATTTCAAAATATACTTAATGTTATAATATTGACGCGTAGGACACCATATCAAGAGATATGGTCCCCCCCCCTCAGAACTAAAGGGTATTCATTACATATCGGGAAAGAATTGACTACTCTTGTTCTATACGGAATACATTTATTTGGACCAAATTAATAAATTAAGCAAAACCATTCACCAATCAGATGATCGTGCTAAAGTGTTGTTGAATGTAAATGGATGATTTGCATTAAAGTTCCATTGAAATTTAAAACGCACTAGTACACCTGAAATATAAATACATCCTGACCTCTGAAATACTTATTATCTAACTTTGCAAGAAAAATCTCAGATTACGCGTGTCTTTTGGATGAAAAACATCAGGGACGATACACAAAGAAACTCTGGAGTGAAAGGATCTCCCGAAATTAGAAAATATTCTGAAAGGTTCAAGTAATGAGAGATAATTTTTTTTATTAGAAACAAGTCTTATTATTAAAAAATTATTACATTTTTACAATAAATTCTCTTTTACACGATAAGTTACAAATCGCTATTTTAATAGACAATTACGCCTTTACGACGCTTTCCGCATAGCTTTTCTGTTGAATGAAATGCCTATGCAGGATCCTCTAAGGGGACGGTGGTCTTTCCACTGCCTTGCAGAGCCGCGATAGTTTACTAGCTTTCTTTTCAACTGCTACTGATACGCCACACCCACGCTATAAAAGTTAATCTTTGCTTCTTCCAAAGAATGAACCCGAGAGTTACGTACCCCTCAAAGAGACTTCTTTGTTTCACACAAACAGCAAAAGGGGGATAAAAGCGACTGAAGTAATGTGCTTTTTAATGAACTTATTCCTAAGAAATTTAAAAGCCCTTTGTAGCATTAAAGTGTTGATGCTTATCCAAACTCCATTACTGTATTTACAATTTTTCAGCCTTCTACCATAATTCCACATTGGAGTAACAAGAAAGCGAAGTTCCCGCAGACAAATACAGGAAGTGATTCCTTACTCTCAGGCGGTGCAAAATTCCATCACCTATCAATGGCGACCTGTTTGTAGAGTCGATTTCTGAATGACATCACAACTTTCTAAAGGATTTGCATCACCTCATTTAAATATCACATTAAAATCCTACCGGGAACAATAGAGCGAGTTGGTGTGGGAATTCGGTGTTATGTAAGCGATACACATTGTTCAAGGGGCGAGGCCCAAGGGAACGACTCCGTCTCGCAGAAATTCCTCGTAAGCTTAATCCATAAGGAAGTAGGCGCGACATCTACACAGACACACCGGTTCTCAGTTGATCTGTGCAGAGAAACTGCAACAGGACCAGTTGCTGCTTAAATGAGTGAGCACCTCCTGTGTGGATTGAGAAGTCGGCTATCAAGTAGCAGTGTCATGGGCGCAGCATGATGAAGGAGATCAAGATACAAGTTCGCATACGGGAGCTTGTAAAACAAAATACATCTGTCCACGCATTCTTTTGACAAATGCAAACGACAGCGTACATTGAGATAAACAGTCTCCAAGTGGCATTTCTTTATCGTATTTCCATCCATTGTGGATCAAATAATTCCTAACGTATCACGCATTAAATACAGACGGTTTTAAGGAGCATAAAGAGTAGATCATGTCTTTCACTAAATATTGCAATAAAAAACTTATATATTTGCATATCTTCGTTTGATTGGCAATTAATTCTGTTGACTTATCCTTGCATCGACCTGTTTACGAGCTTCTTCTCTCTGATCAATATTTCCCTTGTAAGACTCATTGCCTCGACTTCCATGTTGAATATTTTATAGTTATTTGAAAAATAATGACATAAACGATTCCAGACATTCAACATATTTATCAACTTTGTTCGCATATAAAACGTGTCAGTATATAATATATGTCTAGACAGCATCTATCAGTAGAATTTCACAAAATATACTACAAACGATCTTGTCTAATTCAATACATTTAATCACACAATTGTATCAGTATAAATTATACTTCAGTACGTTTAATTAAATCACTAAAACATTTTCATGAAAAAAGTGTATTTTTGAATTGTCAAAGTGTGATTCAGGCAAAAACCGTTGCAGATGTATATTCATCTGCGTTCAACTAAAATGTGACCAAAATGAAGTACAACGGAAGCAAAATAAAGGCAAGGAGAGCGCTCTTGAATGATTCAGCTTGTCGCTAGACATACGCAAAAGTTAGCCCCACCTTTTTGCACCCCCGGGGTTTTATAATGCATGCAGCGTACGAGCTGTCGGCCGTCTGGAAAGCGTCACTCGCAACTCCTCGGGCTGGGAGTGACTAGAGGAAACGACAATGCCAGGGTGTGGCCTGGCTTTCCACGCACAGTAGTCTGAAACAAAAAGTTAAGGAGCAAACATTTAAAATTTGAATATTCGTTCCAGTAAAAGTTTATTACTTCATCAAAGTTCACTGACCACCTAACGATTTGCAGTTCATTTTATACTGATATTTAATTGCACTATCCCATGAAATGCGATGTTAATTATTATGTAATACATTGGAACGCCTGAATTGAAATTGAAACAATGTAAATGTTAAAGTGGTTAGGGCGAAGAGCAGACCTAATAACCTGAGTTTCGCCACGAATAATGGCAGATTAAGATATTATTATTATTATTATTATTATTATTATTATTATTATTATTATTATTGATTTTCTTTCGTCACAATCTAATTACAAATTTGTAAATTATATTTACTAAAAAGTATTTCCTTACAAGATTGTGAGACTTTTAACAACAAACGAAAAAACTCACCACATATCACTGTAATAAAAAAGATCTCTGATTAAAATAATACTTCAAGTTACGAACAATAAAAGTAGATGATCATATCAAAAATTAAATAACAATTACAAAAAAACTTATAGAATATTATGGACTGTGTATAGCCTAAATAGCATTCGATAGCATATATTACGCACTTTAAAATATACATAAAACATTGAAATACGATTCATAAAACTGTTCACACTGTCGCCGACATATAATCCCCTCGCTCACCTTTGATTTCAACTGTATCTATTAAGTTATAATAACAGATTCTCGAAACTCCGCCTAGCTTCCTAGAAATATATTAGGAGTTCGAGTGTGCATCATGAACATGTTGACATCTGCACATTCAGTTGTGAAAGAACCGTTGTTGCGTTGCTTCTGCATGACGCCACACTCACACCGTCGATCCCCGCTTATTCCATGTAGTAATTTATTTTAGCACTAATAACCTGCAGCAACTACAGCAACAAAAAAGCCACAGGCCAAAACTACACAAAATAATTTCCAAAATGTAGCACGCACACTGCTCAAGAACAAGTAACCCAATATTTTCGTATGGCACTGCAGTAAATTAAATATTTTAACAAAAGTCTTTACGATGATTGCAATAACATACTATGAATACATCAATTCTTTACACAACAAGGAAATAAATTATTGCTGTTCTATATTGCAACATTGGAATAGCAAATATTTAATGATAAGCGGCCTACTACGTGGAGTCTTGTTGCCACATTGACATGAACTGTGTGGATAGTAGTGAATTACTGATTCCGTAGTTTATTTGTTTTTATTTATTTGTCAAAAACATAAAAATTTGGTGTGTCTTATTATGAGGAAAAGTGTATCCTGAGCGCGTTGTTTAATTCTTGGACCCTCACCCTAACCCACAGATAAGTTGAATTCTCAATACGGATGTTAAAGAGCGTTTTTGACAAGAATTTATGAGAACAAATTGTCCCTTGTGTATTAAAACCACTTGCAAAGGAAAATCGTTGTTATTACACGGAGAACGATAACACAATCACACAAAATAATTGTGCACGTGTGTGGGGATAAGACCAAGGTTTGTATTTGTTTTAGGGTCGCTAAATTCGAATATGTTGTCCATCACATCACGTTTTGACATAATCTAAAAAATATAAAATATGAGATATTTCTAATCGAGGAGTCAGACTCTGGGCAACTTTCATAATATGCTACTGTGCAGCTGAAATAATGCAGCTTTTATCAGTGCTGCATCACGAGCGAAGAAAACTCAGCGATTCCCCGCCTTGAGCGTTCTCGAAGACTGTGTGGGGATTGCAGTCGTGTTCCATTGTAGAGTGCTAGTTTTAGAGCTTATCTTTTACATTATTGTTTCATTACTTTTCAATATTTTAAAGCGAGATACAGCAATCACAACCCATACAAAAAGAAAAAAAACTAAACGTGTCTTTTGTCCCAAGAACAAAAACATGAAAACCAAAAATAGATGTAAATAATTTTCTCTTCTTAAGTTCCTTCTTAAGCGTAAGTAAAAATAAATATGATTGTTTGTCAAAAACATACTGTTACTAATTGCAATCATTCTAAAGAAAATACATAAATATTGTTGAAAAATCAAAACGTATATTATATATTATTTTCAATGTTTTTATTTCCATTGTAATCATTTTAAATTAATTTTAAAATTATAATTTCATATGGAAAGATTTTAATAGATATTAACATTTGAAAGAAAAAATAACTGAAAAACTTGTCAATAAACGTCAATATATGGCATTCATCTGAGACGGGAGGATCAAAGTAGGGTTAATATTACTGCTATTATACTCTTTCAAAAAGTACGTGGAGTTCTTAACATGTCAGGAAATCAGAAACCAAGCAGCGATAGATTAAACCCCGAAAATTATGAAGAGATCTCTGCATTGAACTCTGCCTAGAACATGTACACAAATATTTTCTCAGAGGCTTAAACCACTAATACAAGCTGTACCATCAAAAGACCTCACAGGCTTCAGAATTGTAAGAAGTTACACTAATAATAAATGTATACTCTAACAAATTATTGAAAGAAACCAACTCTTCGATAGAAATACGCATTTCAAACAGTGTTCTAATTGTAAACAACCATTCTGATGAGTTCTTAGAAAACAAGGTATCTTGTACAAATAATCAGCAAAAAGTGGAAAATTAAACGTTATGAAAATATCAGAGAGATAAGAAAAATGTAATCCTATAGATCGACACACTGAGTAAATATAATTTCACTATCTGTGCTCGTTTTGTCGAGTTCAGTTAACGCTCACCATGTACTCGCTGCAGTAAGTCGATTCCTTCACGAAGAGCATGATGAAGATAAAATCCAAATCTGTAACTTTTTGCTTTGCGAATAGTTTTTTATTACACGGGAGTTCATATTTTCTTATCACTTTTTGTCCAAAATGCCCGTTTCCGCCTGTATTCACAATTCAACTTGTGTATGGTTAAGGGTAGATATCCCAGAATTTAAGACAATGGGCACAGAATACATTCCTTCTCATAGTACGTCACATACAGTTTTTAATTTTTTTGGCGTTTAATAAATAAAATAAAATATAAACTAAGAAATCAGTGTCTCACAGCTTTTCGCACAGTTCATGTCAATACGACAGAAAGGCCTCAAGAAAAACGCCGCTTACCATTAAATAGTTTTTTATTCGCGTGGAACAGCAACTGGTTTTTATTTTATTTTTTATTATTATTTAAGGTCGCATCAACTTTTAGATCATTAGCGACCACTATTGCTTTTAACGGTATGGTAACTGTGAAGATGACATAATGTAAAGATAAGGGGTGAAAGGACGAACACAAATTCAACCATGCCCGAAGCGAGACTCGAACCCACGAACCTTCGGTCCGGCGGCACTACTGCCTTACCGAACTCGAACACCTGACCCACTTTATTTTCTTGTTATAAAGAACTGTTGTGTTCACAGAGATCCCATAATTGAAGAATCATGCCTAAAACACACTTCTCCCATAGTGCGTCGCACACAGTTTTTAACTGTTTTGACGACACATAATAATTAAGAACGAGTACTTTCCGCACGGAACACTGTGCAGCGAGTGCATTTGTCGCACCCAGCCTGCTTCCGACGAGCCCAAAAAGAAAAGCGCACACCGCGCCAGGCTTTCTATCTGCTCGCCCGATCGCCGTCGTCAGACGTAATCCTCGCGGGCTTAACCAACTGCCTCATTAGTTTCCTTGATCTCCGAGATCGACTCCACCGCGTTGCGGGCGGTGTGCCGCCTTTATTAGCCGGAGCCTCCTGCACCCACCTCGCCCCGTGCATTCTGATGGGATCGACGACCCGGTTGCGGAGTGATAGATGAACGATGTGACAGTCAACGTTTGGCGAGAGTCGTGTTACCCAACGTGTCGCGCTTCCCGGCCCCCAAATCGAATACTGCGCCCACGCTAATGATCCTCACAGATCTTGACATCTCGATTTATGCAGGTGGCGCGACTCGTAACCGTTCTATTTGTCGGGGTCAGAAGGTGCATCGACGTTCATTGCAGAACAACCCACGGACGTGCAGAATAATGTACGCGTAAGCACGCCTACATTCGCGGAGAAAATGATACGATCTTTTGCATATGTTTTCGTGCATTACTTGCCTACAATTCGAAATTACATTCGTGAGACTTATTGAGCACTTTCCTTAACAATGATGCACGCGAGTGCATTGAAATTGTCATGAGCGAAAAGTGAAAAGGTGCATAAAGCCTTCGCGACGTTCATAAACCTGTTATCTAACAGCACTTCCATAATTTGTAAACTTAGTGAACTCTCCTTGAAAGATTTCTTATTAATACTTTGCATAAAGGAATTGACGATGAGAGAATAAAAATACCATTCATTATTATTATTATTATTATTATTATTATTATTATTATTATTATTATTATTATTAATTCAATACTGCGCATTTTCATAGCCAAATATGTGCTGATATGTTAATGAGCTTCTCCACGATAATGGAGAAACTCAAAACCAATGTTGGCCAATATATTGTTGAAAAAGAGAAACTTAACTAAATAACGTATTTGATAATATGTTACATGGTATTAATGTATAATTTTATTCTGAAAATTGATGAGAGGTTGTAGGTAAATAAAATAGAAGTATCTAAAAATAGGAAAAAAAGAGCAAATGTTAGGGTCATTTCAGATATGACAACTATGTTATATCTTCCAAAATGAAAGAATTGTTAATAGTTAAATATTTACGTTAGCAGTTCGATTTGCCACTTCACAAGATACCTCCATCGAATCGCGACTGTGATTGCTGGTGGTTTGTTGACAGTACATGCAATTAGTATTATAGAGACAGTGCTGCAAGATGGAAAAAGGTAAAATAAACAGCGATTACAAATGTAAATAGTGGTTCTTTCTAGATGAATTGCTCGTCAGTGTCATGCGGAATTGCAACATATGTTGGGTATGTTATTGTGTTGCACTTTGGGTGTAAACCTGCATAATTGAATTCATCGTAAGATCATTCCTGCCACATAGAGAACGGGAGGTAATTCACACATATGAATCAAAAGTATCCAATGAGTTCTTAACGCCGTCTGCATCGTTGGCAAAATGTTTACAAATTGTGGGATTATTTTGAAGGATGTATAACTTTGAGTCATTTTGTGTCTGCAAAACGATTTCTAATTGGGCTTCTTACAGTTTCTCTCACACGTTAGTTCTTGTTTCATGAACCAATTTAGTACTAGGTTTTGAAAGCACATTCAATAATACTCACATTTAACCCCATATGATGCATTACTATTACTGCCGCTGCATTGACTGCACTTGCAGTGACTTATGAAATGACCCTCGTATCAACATTAGCGACGTGACTCACAATTCCACATGCATTACTCCTAAACCTAACTGAAAAAATATACATAGGTAATAAATTAATTAATTAAAATAATTTTAATAATATTTTTAAACAAAAATAATAGTTTCTAATTATGTATGATTGTATTTTTCTTTTCGTATTTCTTTTAAAATGATATCACAGCGAAAATTATTGTATATATATATATATATATATATATATATATATATATATATATATATATATAATTGTAAAATATCTAAAACATCATTCTATAATGACTGACCTCATAAACGATCATCACTGTTTGGCAACATGTATGTATTATTGAACAATAATATTAATCAAATTTGATCTTTGTAACCGTACTGGCTGACAATCCTTATCTATTGAAGGGTTTCGTTCGTTAATATAATTCAATTCAATTTCTCTGATAATAATCCAAAATACAATTATAATAAACGAAAAAGAAGAAACAAACAATAAAAGAAAGGAAGGATTCTATGGGTGCTGTCACTTTAATCAAAAACGTTATTCAGTACAACAAATTTTCAAAGTGAAATATTTTATGAAACAGTGATATATTAATATATGAGCAGTGATACAAAAACAGCAAGGTAGAAAAAATATTTCAGTTTCAAAATAAATAACTCTAACAACAGGATGCGTTAGCGTATTATTTAAATTTTCATAAACCTCGACTATATTCCACTTACCCAACTTCTAATTTCATGGGACGTTTCCAGAGCAATTACTCCACACCCCACATATCTCGTCATACATATTCACACCTTCCAACGAACAGCAACTGGGCCGTCAAAAGCGTTGTCCGTGGCAGATACGAATGCCGGATAAAGAAATCGGATGAGAGATCGTTTGACACCGTGTCTTAAGGGTGGCGTCGCTATATTGGTTCTGTATTGGATCTCAGCAGCGCTGTACGATCCTTTCACAGAGACCTCCTCCTCCTCCTTCACAGGGAGGCGAATTTCCATATTGCGCCAACCCTGGCGAACGTACTGTAATCAAAGGCACGAAACTGCGTAGGCATACTTCAAACGAGGGCGCGTATGCTTTCATAAATCCCGTAATCTAATTTTGGAACCACGGACCCCGCTACGCTCGAAGAGAACAAATGCGGAATAATAATATTAAACCTTTATGCTGGAAATACGCAGTGTACACAGGGAGAAGCGCGGGTGTGCGCGAGGGCCATGTCACCAGAGCCAAATTTCAGGCACGAACTGCCTATTTTCGTGCGAATATATGAAATTATGCTTGGTGCATAATGTGTACGTACGGGCATGTGTATGCGATTGTGGAAGCGTACCTTCCTATGTATAATTTTACCACAGTTTATCTCCGGGTGTTGGAACGGGCGTGCGGTCCGCCAGGCCGGAAATTTAGTACAGAGAGTATTTCATTACCAGTTATGCTCAATTCTTTGCCAAATATATCCATAAAGGAAGAGTTCACAGCGTTTTATGTTCTTCATTAACTTACAATAATACACAATTAAATTATGTTTAACGCTGTCATGATTAGACATGATTATATTAATATTAAACTTTGAAACAAAACAAGTTTTTTAATCCTTTACCGTAATGAATTGAACGCGTAATGAATGAAAACCAGGGCTACCAACATCGTAAATTAAGCGTGATTGACAATTTTTAAATTAAGAATAATTCTTTTGGATTTCAAATAAGAATAATAAGGTAATATTGAGGCAAGAAATTATATTTTTCATTGATACACATCACAAATGGTCTGAAATACAATATTGATTTACCAATATAGTATCAGTTCTCATGGTATTGTATTTGGTAGTCGGAAAATATATTGTCTGGAGCGAGGATAGTATTCAGTTGTTGCAATATTCAATCAGTGATTATCATTTGTATTGAGCATTTGAAGCTGGGCAACAGACGATTTCTTATAAATGTTTAAGCAAACGTTATAACTTTTCCAGATCGATTAAGTTCTAAGCAGATAAAGCTTTTGCCAACACTAATAGTAATCTCATAGCACTGCAGGATATCGCTGTCTCAATTTCTATTTGATGCAGAGCAAGTAATTACTAGAAGAGAAGACAAGAATAGAGCGATACAATAATACAATAATTTAGTTTACAATAATAAAGAACTAGAAAAAATCTCCAGCCTCACTTGAAAGGGCGGTGTTCCATCCAACAGAATCGTGAGATCTTCGCTGGCCTGTATGTCGACTTGCAGGAGTTCCTTCTCCCCAGGAACCTCCACCAACGGGACACTGAGCTGATCTCTACATATGGGTGATAGTGTAGGTAGTGCATGTAAATGTGTGTGTCTGTATGTTCGTGCTTAAAGGGAGAGAAGGGGAAAAGTATGAGGCAGGAAAGTTCCGTCTCCGTCGAGACTCGAACCCGACGACCATCTAGTCTGCGACACTGCAGCGGCAACACTTGTCACTAAGCTACGAGGTTACGGTTTACGAGAACGAATAAATACAAACGAACGAAACTGAAAATCTGTGTCCGCCATCAGTTTAATTTTCAACGAAGGCTTATTCTAATCGTGTATGGTCAATTTCAGGGATGTGAACTAATTGAATGAAGTCGGCTACCAGTTCTCGGCAGTCCTGAAAAAATGTTGTAGGTAGTATGACAATAGCAGCAACATATTTTTTGTTTATTTTGATGTGCGTGCCAGTACATATTTTGTTCTCGGAAAATACATGACGACAAACTTCCTTTCTCTTTTTACTGGCGACATGCCAGCACATAGAGCTTGTACCTACATACACCAACACATTATTGTACTTCATTTTGTGACCCAATTTCACTAACATGACGTTCAGATAGCTCTCGATACACCGTGACAAGGCAGAGTAATACGCAGTGAGACTCTGGTCCGGAAACGTTGCTTTTCATTGGCAGAATTGGAGAGGTTTGTAACCTTATAAGACGCACTTGCAATGATAATTTCTTCCGAGTCGTATTTAAAAGTATATAAAATCCCTTCCAGAAATCAAAACAAAATACCCAAAGTGATCGATATTTAAGGCAGAGACCATTGTTATTCATATATGGTCATACATATTTCGTGGTCTACATCACAAGTGCGTACAGTGACACAAAATGCTCCCGAAAAAGTTCTGAGTATAGAATACATTAACGAAATTTACTTCTATTTGTGAAAGATAGTATATATTTCATTTTTGAAATTATAAATTTCCACAAGATTTAATTATCATTTTTCTGCTATATTTAGATAATTGGAAAATTACGTAATCTAAATACCACACAGTTAAGTAAAAATCATGAAATATATATATATATATAT